ATCCGTCGATGCAGCTGTAAAACCACCATCGTTCTCGTCCTTTTCCTTCTCTCCCTTTACTTCACCTACCATCGTCGCTCTCCCTTCTCCCCCTGCAAGAAGCTGCAGAAGTCCCTCAAGCTCCACCTCTAGGATTTCACCTGCCCGTCTCCAAGGATACCTCAAGATCCACCACCATCATCATCAAATCATCATCACGGTCGTGGTTGCCACATCAATCGTCGATGTTCAGATCGACATCGACAAGATTGACCACCATGTTGTTATTATCGATCATCATCACAACAATCACCTGTGACCCTCAATAGTGTTGTCATCCTTCATCACCACAACAGTCGACTAAGAATTTTTAATTAAAGCATACAAATATATATATATATATATATATTTAAAATATTAAAATAATCTTTTATCTATCGTTTTTATAATATTATTATACATGCTATCACATGCCATATCTTTTGTCGGTAAAACTAACAGGATAAATTAGATTAAATATTTTACTTTCATACGATAGATATTTAAATATAATTTTTTTTAAATTTAAAGATCGAGATATTAAAGAAATCTAACCATAATTAGTCTTAATTATAAAGTACAACCTAGCACTATTTTGCACCCCCCAACTATTCAAGAACAACTAAAAGCAATGGATCGATGATTCGAGGATTAAAGAGGGGAAATCAAACGAAAAATAAATGAAGCCAAGAAAGTCAATCCCTACGTACAATCTCCTTTTAGTCAACAAATTGATGTTGAAGCTTATACCTTGAGAGTTTCTCCCTTCTCAGAAACCTTCCGTGATAGTTCCAATCTACCCGAGCATGTTGTAGTGTCGTCATATAAATAATACTATACATGGCAATCGACATCTTGATGTGTCGATCCTACTCGACAAATCTTTGGAAAAAGTAAGGGAATAATAAAGTGACACGTAGATATAAGGTAGTCTTCAAGAGGTGACAACTCAATCGCTTGAAAAACCTACGCTAGAGTTGACTCGACTAAAAAGACACAAGTCAGGAATCATCGCATTCAAAGAAAAAAATAATCCTAAGCATTTCGACCCGATAACCATGACACTCTTATCATCTCCTATTAGGACTCTTTTATTTTATTTTATGAGCTTTGAAAAACATTTATTGAGTCTATTTAATTCAATTAGAATCGAATAAAAATTTATTTAATATTTATTTATTATTAAGAGTTCTAATCCTAATGGACTCTAGGTGAAACTTTATAAATAGTGATGTAATCCTTTCTTTAAATCAAACAATCAATCAAATATTATTTTAGTTTGTTATGACAAACCCTAGGAGGCCGATCCCCTCGAAACGATCATTCCTTAGGGTCTTATCATCTCTCAGAAGATTTTTAATGCATCGGTGAAAGGAATCATAATCGACATAACAAGTTATTGATATCTTCTATTAAGACACAATCTAGAAGATTGATATGAGCTGTATAAATCTTTTTCCAATATCCTCCACTGATCAATCAGAGCCTCAGAGCCCCTGCTCAATAATTCAGTCTGGTTAGGTCCCAAGCGAGTCAACATCCATAGGTTGTGACAGGTATTTTTCTTTCTTCCTTTCTTCCTTCTCGAGGGATACTTGACCTAAATAGATGTAAATGATGCTCAATTTAAATGGAAGTAGATAATATACATGTATGTACATGCACAGTAGTCGAACGACAAATGAGTAAACAAGCATATACCAGACTTATGTAGACAGATCTGGTCTTGGCAGCATTGACCAAACATCAAATGGAGAATAGCAGTTGAGAGTACTACTGAGTCAACTATAATTTTGGAAGTCAGAAACAAGCAGATAATGCAGGTGTAATTTATTAGTATGCATTCTGAGTCTTATCTGGATGAAGAATATCCCAGGCCAAATGCATCACCTGCCCAAGCTTTGTTGTGTTTTCAACATTGTTGTTTTCTTAAAATACACAAGTTTGTGAGTCTTTTGAGTATGATCACCGGTCTCCTCCCTCGATTGCCAAGCTTCCGAGACTCCTACCACAACCAGGATAGCCAATTCAGTGCATCAAAATAGAAACAGTGGTGTTTTGAAGAAGCCGAAGACAAACGAGTTGTTTCTTGTTAAAAAGTTGAAACACAAGGAACAGCTGCGCATAAAAGGGAAGAAGGCAACAACGGAAAAGACAAAACCATCATCGAATGCGGATGCCTGCCAACTCCTACTCACTAAATACGTTGTGATGAAAATAATAATAAGAATCATGTATTCACCGATTACCTCACATTATTACAAACATAGTCAAAAAGTTTCTTACCTGCACCACAGCCAAGCATTTCGGTGGGAGTTATGCCCCAATTTTCTCCCTACTTGTGTTGACTAATCTAGCCGATAAAGATATTAACTATTGATAGCAATAGCAAGTTCTTGTGATCCAATATCATCTTTATCGCATACCTTTGCAAAATAAAAAATTCCACACCGAACTAAAGCGTCGCCTATGTCAAAAATTCCATGAAATTAAAGAATGCAAATAAAGATGAGAATCCTTCCCTGCATATTCCACATACAACTTGGAAAAAGAACTTGGTCAAATCTTCTTGACCTATAGTAGGTTTTTAGTGTTACCCCTGCAATGAATCACTGTCAAAAGCAGCCTGAAGTTTTGAATGGATCTTGGCTTTCCAAAATTTCACCAGACAAAAAAAAAAGGGTTGTGTTAGGATTACAAACAAGAAAAGATCTTTCAAAATGATACAAAAACATGCTATATCTAGCATTTCAAATTGTTCTATCTGAGGTTTTTAATTTCGTACCGTATCGATATACCGAGCTTTGTTCGATACAGCATACTGAGTAATACACTAGGGTGCACCGAGCGGTACACGCTTCTTTTAAGAAGAAACCATCTTGCATGTGGGCGAGGATAGTTTCTTCTTAAAAGAAGAAGAAACCATCCAGCAGAGCGGGTGAGGATGGTTTCTTCTTAAAAGAAGAAGAAACCATCACCCCCTTTCCATCTCGAGAGACAGAAAGGGGGTGATGGCAAAGCGGGTGAGGATGCGACGAGTCGCCTCCGTCCCCAACTTGAACTCATCCCCCGCGAGGCACTCCGCAATGCTCCCGCAACAGCCGAATCTAGTGAGGATCCAACCTAGGGCGAGCTCATCTCTCACTCCCCCGCCACTACCGCCAATAGCGACCGTAAGGAAGAAGACCAAGATGACGATGAGAGCAAGAAGGGGAAGCAGCAGTCCAACCTCGGCCAGGATCCCTTCCTTCGCAGTCGACCGCGACCTCCTTGACCACAACGGCCAAGATCCCTCCGCCTCCTACCGTGTTTCGCCCAACGGAGCAAGGACTCACCCCCTACAGTGCTCTGCCCGACGAAGCGAGGACCCTCCCCCTATCGTGTTCCGCTCGACGGAGCGCTTCTTCGTGTCCCGCCACGTCCAACTCTCTTCTCCGTCATGCCTTCTCTGTCCAACGAGCGTCGTAGCCTCGTCTTCCTCACCATCATGCTCTTTGTCTTGTCCACCAATTGATACTGTCCGGTAGTGGGCGGTCCACGTGCCGATCAATTGACGGACTGATATGTACCGCCCGTGCCGGACAATATGATTTGAGATTCAAATCCCTGGTTCCATCCAATCCCCAAAGTGATGAAAAAAAGAATCAAGGACGATAAGCTACTACATAAGATCTGTCATTGCGCTCTCATTTATCTTGATGAGAAAAATGGAAATTCCAAGAAACACAACCAATTTTTAAGATGCTAAATATATAAAAATGTGCATTATTAGAGGCATGATTGAGGTTAAGAAAAGCAAGACCGGAAGGAGTGTTACCTCCACAAGTTCGTAACAAAAAAAGGAAAATTCAATAACTCATCCTAGGAAATTAATGTAAACTTTTCATGCATCTTTCTAGCGACTCTCTAAGAAATAACTTCTTTCTTTGTCAAGAAGCTCAAGTTTGGTATGCTCGATATTAAGTTGTTAACAATCATAGTTTTCTGTGACAATTTATTCTATATCCTGCTTTATAACCCCAAAAATTGCAAATAATAAGGATGGGTGCCCTTTGGTCTTCAAAATGCATTCATAAATACCCTTAGACCATCAACCATTGCGAAACAAACACAGGAACTGAAAGGATATAACATGGACAGATATAACGTCGACCATTCAACTCAAACTTATGATGCACAAAGCTCAAATATAGACATAACATGGATGGAGCTAAATGGCAAAAGATACATCTCAATACCATGAACAACTGGGACATAGAAGGTCTATTCCTGTTGTTTTGTATGAATAACACGTAAGGTAAGAACTAAAAACTATGTAGTAATTCTTAAAAGGAAGACAACAAAAGAATAAGAAGCTGATTTATATGCTAGAATATACAGGATTTGGTTGTTCTGTTTATATATCACTTCATAATATGGTCAAAATTAAGATAACAGAAGTTAACATTTTTAAGTATAGTATTTTTACTCGTAATGCAGTAGCTGTAGAAAACTTCATTCTTATTTCCATCAATTTTGCCATGAGAATGCTGTTGTTTGGCATTGTATACACACTTAAAGAAACTTAAGTATCTAAACTGAAATATATTGCACATGTGGAGTTCAACTTCTGATATCACTAAGACAAGAACTGAATGAATAGTTAAAGTAAACGGTTGACAAAACTTCAAGAAGTGAAAAAAAGCTTCCCTATATTGGAATGATCATGCAGCAAGATGGGGCATATTAAAGAAGATAGTTGAACATGATAAAAGGACAAATGCTTGATTTGCAGTAGTTAGGAAGCTGCATTTATTAAAAATCAAGTGCTAATTCACATGATAAAAGGAAATGGCTTATGTTTGATAATTTAAAATGTTTGTAGTGGTTAGAAAGCAATGATTATTAAAAGCCAGTGCAGGTAGGATGATGAAAATATTGGTAAGTGGTTGGTTTACAATAGAAAAAGACCATTCCAAATTCATGGGTAATACCAATTGAAATAAAGTGAATCAATGAATTATTTTAGGTAGCTTTAGTTCAAACATGAGACATGTCAGAGAGATGATCATTCAATACTATACAGTATACACCAATTACAGAACCAGCCAATTTAATCAACATGACATGAGAAAGACAAAAGATCAAAGAAGACTCCAGGAGAAAATAAGAGAAAATGAACAAATGGAACCATCTGTGCACATGGAGGAATATGGCAGCTTTTGGATTTCATCCTTGATGGGATCAGATGGCTGAAGAGATGCATGTAACCAATCCCAAAAAGTCAAAAATGTAAGTTTCTTACTCTTCTTTTTTCCATTTCTTGATTTATATCACAGATTCTAAATTAACTTCATATGCCATTCAAGAAAGCATGAAGTAAAAAAGTTATTTTGCAGAATGGAGCTAGGACTGAAGCCTCTGTCCTATCACCTCAAAGTCCATAATGGAAACCCCTAATCAAACATCAGTTCCGTTAAACATTATCTATGAATTTAATAATTTAAAAAATCAAAACATATGTAATCTAGATATTATCTCATCAAGCTGACTTAAAATGAACAGTGTGAAAGCGATAACCAGTGATGTTAGACTGACTTCAATCTATATATTATTCAATGAAAATATACAAATATTCCACTTGTTTCAGTAATTATATACCATTGATCAAATAAAAATATATCCTATGTTGTGAAAACATTTTATTATTCCTCCAATTAGTATGCATGTTAGAACAATTCAAAATTTTTTATTTACCATTTCTAGGCTTTCGAAAATCATAGATCAGGCACAAGTTCAATGCCACAGACCTTTAATCTAGGGCCTCCATTATTCATTTTGATATGACAGGATTGACAACTCAATCCTCCAGATAGTACTCCCGCTCAACAATTGCTATGTTGACCAACAGTTTGTAGAAAAAGTAGGCAAGGCCTTCAATTGGGACACACTTATTCGAACCCCTCAAACTTTATAAAGGAGTTCTTAAGCAAGATTCCACTTTGGTCAGTAACAGCTACTAATTTTATTCGAACTTGTTCACCTATGGAAGAACCATTGATAGGCATCATATGTACAAATGAACTCTTTACAGGCTTCAACTGATTAGTGTTAGACTAGAAGTTTCTATCTTAGACATCTAAACTCTATCAAACTCACTGGTACTAGCAGTCCATCTTGGACTGCTTTAAAGCTTTGAAATAACTACTTTATGAGTTGTCAGTGAGATATGAAATATAATAAATAAGTTTAATATTGGCAGTGAACCGTGGAATTGGGATGAGGATTGATCCAAGATTAGCGAAACCTAGTTGTCATATTATAGAACAGGGCAAAATCAATCCAAGCTTAGTGAGATCAGCTTGGAAACAATCAAACTAGCTGAGATTGGACTAAGCTCAAAATGTTCAGATAAACCTTGGATCGATCGAGATTTTTATTTTTTGCAGGAAAAATATGAATAGCCACATTCTTTGCCTCCATGGAGAAGCCATACTGGATTGAAATATCTAAATGCAATGGTTACAACTTAGAAAAAGCATGTGATTGGTAGAAGTGAAGATTTGTTGATAAACCACTAAGCTCCCTAGTGTCCCTAGAACTGTATATATTATATAATCACGAAATATCTACACCAGAAAGTTTCCTAAGATGTGATTTAGTTCTGAGGTATATAATATCCATGCCATCTTTACAAAACATGGCATCTTTATAATATTTTCCTACTCTTAAAAATAAAGCAGAAGTTCTACAAAGATAGAGATTGAATTGGGAACCAATTCTAAGTTCTGAGGTCCCGTGGAATCCTCTATGATCATTAAAAAGGAAAAAAAAAAGAAATGCATAACAGTACCTATTTATTAGGATATTTTCAGGCTACTCCTAATTTTGCGAGTGACGAACATTTGTACAATATAGTCATCTTCATCACTTGCTTCATAAATGGCCTATGTAAACCTAAGATTATGATAATTAACTCCTATGATTCAGTTCAGTTTTCACTGATAATTAGAAGAAATAAAAAGAAATAGGGGTTATAACAGGGAACTGTCAGATCCAAAATAAAGTCATGCTAAAAAACTTGACTGACACCAAGGCACCCTTCTTTTTCATTTTGATCTACATGATCTGATTGCCTGGATAGCTAGCATCTCCAATTTGTTGAATGCTAGCTTATAGAACTTCCCCTTCTTCCAATTTCACTCAATTTAAAGAGAACACCTGTGTATCAGTGGAATGATTTGACATTTTACTTGATCACTTTCACCATATAGTTTCATTCCTCCATCATATAAAAGATTAGACATCAGCAATCAATATGAGCGATTCACCTCACCTCAAACCTCTTTTTGAGTTAGCAAGAACTATTGATATTTTATGAACGATGTGAACTGAGCCAACTAGATCTGAAAACCATATCTCAAGGATCAGGAAATCATAACAAAGGTACCACAAGAAAAAGGGGGTAAAGAGAGATCACCTCTTGTGGCGGCGGCCCCGCTT